ATTAATCGAAATGCCCAACAAAGAATAGTAGATTCGAATGACATCTATTCAGGAAACATTTGATGTTTTCTCAATTTTACATTTATCTATCGGCAACAAGACGTCATGGCCAGACAATGTACTTAGGAAATTAAGTAGCTGCTGTCTCGCCGTCAGTCAAATTCTGACGCCGCAATGCCAAGAATTTCCCCAATTTTTTAATCCTAAACGAGTGATAAAAAGATTAGAGGAATTCAACGATAGGAGTAGCTTACAGCTTCAGCTTATAGGACACACTGCGTCTTCAGTAGCATGAGAGCTATTTGCTGAAGTATCTGACGAGAAAAACTCACTCTAGTGCTATTCAAAAGAGATACCATTATGACAATGGTATTAGAAGTAAATAAAGAGGAACAGAAAAAAGTACGTATTATTTACCTCAATGGTAGGGTGACACACCACAAAACTGTCATTTGCTATTTCTGACGATTTCAATATTGCTGATTCATTACGGTATCTTATCTTCTGATTGAACACCAAATGGGATCAATTTTTTAATTTATTCATATTCAACTATCAGATTATTGTGAATTCCGTGGAATCGTCCTTCAATCATACACATATGATAAATTTATTTTCTTAATATCTTTCAGAAACTTAAATATCCGAAAGCCATTATTTTTATTGTCTGCATGGAATTTTGCGAAAGGTTTTCATACTATGGAATGCGAAGTAAGTTGAACAAAAAATATTATCTTTATTAAAAATTTCTCAAGTGTTGTAATGAATTTTTTTCATGTTTCACTGACAGCAATACTATCGTTATACCTCAAGAATAAATTGCACTTCAGTGATGATTCGTCGACTGTTATTTATCATATTTTTATGATGTTCATCTACTTTTTCCCGTTATTCGGTGCTATACTTGCCGATTCAATGTTGGGAAGATTTAAAACAATTTTTTACCTGAGTTTGGTTTATGCTCTCGGCCAACTTATTCTTGCAGCGGGCGCTGTTCCACCGCTTGGGTTACCTACCAGGTAAATTGTTGATGCCATAAAATAATATATTATTCTACTGAAAAATTAACTCATAACACGTATGCATTTTTCAATAAATTTCCAGAGAAATTACCATGACTGGATTATTTTTTATTGCTGTCGGTACGGGTGGAATAAAACCATGCGTATCAGCCTTAGGTGGAGATCAGTTCATTCTTCCTGAACAAGACAAGTATCTCGTCACGTTCTTCTCAATATTCTGCTTCACCCTCAATGCTGGAGCACTCCTCTCATCATTTCTCGCCCCAGAATTGCGCAATAATATTGCATGTTTCGGAGATCAAGAATGTTACTCAATTGCGTTTGCCGCTCCGGCTATATTAATGATTGCAGCGATTGGTAAGCCATAATATTCGATCAATTAGATTCAAAAGTGATGACCCGCGATTTTAACTTTCAGCAATATTCCTTGTCGGAAGACCGCTGTATATAATAAAGAAACCCACAGGAAATATAATTGTCGACGTGGCAAAATGTATGTGGGTACGTTCTCAAAATTCAATC